CTTTAATTTGATATCAATATCTAATTTTCATAAATAACGTTTCCAGGATTGTTTAAGTTTCGACTAAATTTAAAACATTTAGGGACTAAATTGATAACGTAATTAAAATTCAACTTCTTAAATCTAAAATTTTATAAAAATAATTTTTTAATCTTCATAATTACATCTAGAACGATTTATTAAGTAACAATTTCCNTAACGTAATTAAAATTCAACTTCTTAAATCTAAAATTTTATAAAAATAATTTTTTAATCTTCATAATTACATCTAGAACGATTTATTAAGTAACAATTTCCGTTTTAACGTTGATCTCGTTCGATAAGTTGTCTCAAGGCGCCTCTCGATTTAACGCACCTTGCAAGAATTTGCATCGAATCCACGAATACATTAGAACAGTGTACTATTTTTGTTCGTTTTAAGGAATTACCAATGTCATTCCAGGTTTAATGACGTGAAAACATCAAACGCCATCAATGTTCCAATTAAACACAGCCGATCCCTTATCAAGATTCCTCTGGGACACATTCAGAAGCGGTTCTCAAATAATTAATATATCTTGAGGACATTTCGCCGATGATCTTGGCTTATAAGGGACCTAATACAGATCAGTTATGTTGAAAACTTGCCTGTCCTTGTTCGGCAAAAAGCGGACACAAGGCTACCGACAACGATCGGATCGGGACCCGGCCAACATTCCGACATGCAGTCAAACATGATTAAACCTAACGAAGAAACGACCGCGGCCAATTCGTAAAACCTCTAATTATGGCTAGGGTCTGGCGTCCGCGATAATTTACGCACATAAATCTCATGTTATTAATATTGTTTACATTGGGGCTTAATAGTCGACGTAATTAGTTTTATATCTTGCATTTTCCGACGTCCTTAACATCACAATTAATCCACGAAGAACTTATTAATTGGCTCTACAAGATTACCATCAACGTTTGGATGAGATTCTATCGGTTTTCATTAGAAACAGTTTCGTTTCCTGTGGTTACCAAGGTGTTATACGATGGCAGATCATTATTTAATGATGACCAGATGTTAAAAGGAAACTGATTTTTGTTCTGTTTTTGTACATATTCATCCTCTTTTTATAACACGTCGTAAATATTCTTATTAAAACATTTCAATGAGCTAAGTAACGTTTTTATCAGAGTACAAATATTTTGTCTGCTACATTTAGAAATGACGATTTAACCAGTAATTTCAAACACGCAGATATGTAATATGTTGTTGAGTGACTTTTATCTCAAAATACCGAAATTCAAGTCGAAACGTAAAAAATCGTGGAAACTTTATTTATGAATGTTGAGAATATTAAAACTGAAATGTTATTCTTTAAAATTATCTATAAAACATGTTAGGTTGAATTTTAAAAATTTTTAGATAAAAGCTTTTGAAATTTTGTTACTTTTTATTAATGGTTAAATACAAGTTGAAACTTAAATAATCGTGGAAGGGTTATTTATGAAAATTAAGAAATGATTCTGATAGCAAAATAAAGCTGAAACTTTCCTCTTTAAAATGATATATGATACATGTTAATTTAATACAGGTTACATTTTAAAAAATTTTAGATATAAGAAGTTGAATTTTAATTACGTTATCAATTTAATCCCTAAATGTTTTAAATTTAGTCGAAACTTAAACAATCCTGGAAAGGTTATTTATGAAAATTAGATATTGATATTGATATCAAATTAAAGCTGAAACTTTCCACTTTGAAATGATATATGATACATGTTAGGTTGGGTTATAAAATTTCTTAAATAAAGGAGGTTGAATTTTTGATACGTTTTCATCTTAACCTCAAAACGTCAAAACGCATGCTGAAACTTAAAACATTGTTGTAGATTTATTTATGAAGATTAAAAAATTATATTTATATCAAATTGAAGCTGAAACTTTCCACTTTTAAATGATATATGATACATGTTAGGTTGGGTGATAAAATTTCTTAGATAAAAGGAATCGAGTTTTTGTTACGCTTTCATCTCAACCTCAAAACGTCAAAATGTATGCAGAAACTTAAATAATCGTTGTAGGTCTATTTATGAAGATTAAAAAATTATTTTTATATCAAATTGAAGCTGAAACGTTCCTCTTTAAAATGATATATGATATGCGATAGGTTGCATGTTAAAAATTTTTAGATATAAGAAGTTGAATTCTAGTTACGTTATCAATTTAATCCCAAAATTTTTAAATTAAGTGGAAACTTAAACAATCCTGGAAAGGTTATTTATGAAAATTAGAAATTGATATTGATATCAAATTAAAGCTGAAACTTTCCGCTTTAAAATGATGTATGATACATGTTAGGTTGGGTGATAAAATTTCTTACATAAAGGAGGTTGAATTTTTGATACATTTTCATCTTAACCTCAATACGTCAAAACGCATGCTGACACTTAAAAAATCGTTGTAGGTTTATTTATGAAGATTAAGAGATCATTTTTATATCAAATTGAAGCTGAAACTTTCCTCTTTAAAATGATATATGAAATGTGACAGGTTGCATTTTAAAAATTTTTAGATATAAGAAGTTGAATTCTAGTTACGTTATCAATTTAATCCCAAAATGTTTTAAATTAAGTGGAAGCTTAAACAATCCTGGAAAGGTTATTTATGAAAATTAGAAATTGATATTGATATCAAATTAAAGCTGAAACCTTCCACTTTAGAATGATATATGATACATGTTACGTTGGGTGATAAAATTTCTTAGATAAAAGAAATTGAATTTTTGTTAAGTTTTCATCTTAACCTAAAAACGTCAAAACGTATGCTGAAACTTAAAATATCGTTGTAGGTTTATTTATGAAGATTAAAAAATTATTTTTATATCAAATTGAAGCTGAAACAATCCTCTTTAAAATGATGTATGATACATGTTAGGTTGGATTATAAAATTTCTTAGATAAAAGAAGTTGAATTTTTGTTACGCTTTCATCTCAACCTCAAAACATCAAAATGCTTGCTGAAACTTAAAAAACCGTTGTAGGTTTATTTATGAAGATTAAAAAATTATTGTTATATCAAATTGAAGCTGAAACAATCCTCTTTAAAATGATGTATGATACATGTTAGATTGGATTATAAAATTTCTTAGATAAAAGAAATTGAATTTTTGTTACGTTTTCATCTTAACCTCAAAACGTCAAAACGTATGCTGAAACTTAAAACATCGTTGTAGGTTTATTTATGAAGATTAAAAAATTATTTTTATATCAAATTGAAGCTGAAACGTTCCTCTTTAAAATGATGTATGAAATGTGATAGGTTGCATTTTAAAAATTTTTAGATATAAGAAGTTGAATTTTAATTACGTTATCAATTTAATCCCTAAATGTTTTAAATTAAGTCGAAACTTAAACAATCCTGGACTGGTTAATTATGAAAATTAGGAAGTGATATTGATATCAAATTAAAGCCGAAACTTTCCACTTTAAAATGATATATGATATATGTTAGGTTGGGTGATAAAATTTCTTAGATAAAAGAAGTTGAATTTTTGTTATGCTTTCATCTCAACCTCAAAATGTCAAAACACATGCTGAAACTTAAAAAATCGTTGTAGGTTTATTTACGAAGATTAGAAAATTACTTTTATATCAAATTGAAGCTGAAACGTTCCTCTTTGAAATGGTATATAATACATGTCAGGTTGAATTTCAAAAATTTTTAGATAAAAGGCTTTGAAATTTTGTTACGTAGTCAACATAATCTCAAAATATTTGAAAACAAGTAAAAACTTAAAACATCGTGTAAGATATCAAATTGAAGCTGAAACTTTCCTTTTTAAAATGGTATATAAATCAAAATGTTTCAAAACAAGTCAAAAGTTAAAATATCGTGGAAGGGTTATATCTATATGAAAATTAAGTAATATTGATAATCTAGCATGTTTCATAAATCGTTTTAAAGAGTAAAGTTCCTGCTTCAATTTGATATAAAAATGATATCCTTTTCTCCATAAATACACCTACATACAACGATTTTTAAAGTTTCAGTGTGCGTTTTGATGTTTTGAATTTAAGATGAAAACGTAACAATAAATCAACTTCTTTTATCTAAGAAATTTTATACCCCAACCGAACATGTATCCTATATCATTTTAATGAAGTTTCAGCTTTAATTTGTTATCAATATCACTTCAAAATTTTCATAAATAACCCTTCCACCATTATTTATGTTTCAACTAGTATTTAAACATTTTGAGATTAAGATGATCACGTAACAAAAGTTGAACTTCTTATATCTAAGAATTTTTAAAATCTAACCTAGCATGTTTCATATATCATTTTAAAGAGGAACGTTTCAGCTTTAATTTGATATCAATATCACTTCTTAATTTTCATAAATAGCGCGTCACCGATTTTTCTAGTCCTCGTAGAATCTCAAAATTTGGTACAATCCATCTTCTAACAATCCTCTATCACCTCATATAAGTTATATTTTTCAATTACTTGTCTTCAAGCTAATTTTCAAATCCGTTTATGTAGGAAATATTCGAACGTTCTTTTACAACCACAACAAGTTTTATTTCTTAATTCCAAACCGTTTTGGAAACAAAATGTTTTCAACAGTTGTTCAAACCCAACATGAGATGAAGATACGAAACGACTATCCCATTCAATAAGTTCCTATTCTGATTGACCACTTTGATATATGTAGGACTGCTTACTCGCTCTATCAAGTGCTCCAGATTGTCATGTAAAGCTCTAAAATTGCACTTATTGTAAATAAAGTTTCCTACAACACTTATTTAATTACATTCGAGTTATATCACTCATTCCTCCAAATTCACTTAACAACAGCAAAAAAACGAAAAAAGATTTCTTATGAATTTGTAAAATATTGTTGGTGTCATCATTAAGAGTGATTAAAATTCATTCTCGCCGTCGGATCCGTCGACGCGAAGAGAGAACTCTCGGGGACGTCCATTGTTTGTGAGAGAGTCGTATGAGGCGCATTGTTTGAAGCTTTTTTTTATCCTTTCGGACGAAACGCCGCGGCACATGCTGAGCCATTCTGTGCGTATCCGACTTTGTTTATCGCGATGGGACGTCGAGATGCAAACAAATACGAATGGTGAACCATCTGCAGCTTCGTCGTTGTCGTAGTCGTCGTCGTCGTCGTCGTCTACGTCGCTTTGAATCGGTGAATATTAATTCCCGAGACGACTACTCAATGGGAATCACAAATGATGGAAGTGTGTTGGGTATTGTGAGTAAGTATATGATGAGAAATGAAAAAGACCGACTTTTTACCAATGATTCCCCAGGCGTGTATGAACACCGCCTAAAAATCCTTCGGTTATTTGCTGGTGAATGAAGCGGGGGCGATATTTACTAGAAGGATTTCGGTTACATCGAGAGGGGGGAAAATCGGTTTGAATGGTTTTATGATTATTACCGAGGGGAGTTTCTTTATTTGATGTTTGATGGATTCAATTCGGCATACGAAATTTCAATTATTTTTAAAAGTGCATAAAAATATTACTACTTAAAGTGTAAATTTAGATTTTAGTAGGTATTTCTTGGATCATGTGACTAACGTTGAATGTCGTACATCAAAGACGGTTAGTTAGCTGCAATTACTATTGGTCTTGTCTTCACTAATCGTGTGGGAAACTTCAAAGCGTTTAACTTCTCGGTGGTATATTTAGATATATTTAGAACGTTATGTTTTATTTTAATTTGAAATTTAAATCTCATAAACATAAATTTAAAACTAGTTAGATAGTGATTGTTAATTTGTGATGCACCTTTCATAACCTGTCGTACTAATTGAGTAAAATCACTCAAAGTATGTAAACGAACATATACACCTAAGGCTATATTTAGATTCTGAATTATACGAACGTGTTTGAACTCGAGTCGTCTTACCTCCCTAATGGTGCAACAACCTACCAATTATTCTCTGTAACTTACAATTAGAAGACCGGTAAAATAAATTGCTTGGATTTTGTTATTTTATTGCATCGATTGATCTCGTTCGATAAGCTGTCTCAAGGCGCCTCTCGATTTAACGCTGCTTGCAAGAATTTGCATCGAATCCACGAATACATTAGATCAACGTAACATTTCTTTTTATTTTAAGGAATTACCAATGTTATTCCAGTTTTAATGACATCAAACGCCATCAATGTTCAAATTAAACACAGATCCCTTATCAAGATTTCTTTGGGACACATTCTTTTTGTTACAGCTTCAATTTGACATAAAAATAATATTTATGTGAATAACTTGACTTAACATGACATTGAATTTGAAACCCTAACTCAAGCGCCAAAAACCACCAATAACGAAATTCTTTACAATGACAAAAATAATATTTATTCTAATCATGACCACAAAGACAACAATATATACTCCGCTAAAAAATCCCCAGAAGAACGAGGATTTTAGAGCCACGGTTGCAGCTCTAAAATCGCAACTATCTGGGTCCCATCCTCTTTTCTAAATTCCTTTAAATTAAAATATTACAAGTTTGTTAAACCCTAATTCAAATACCTAACACTCCCTCACACCTACCTGACCCTACCATAATATTTTGCAACAATTTTAAATTTAAAAATACGCGGCTATGTTCACAAAGTTGAACATAACCTGAAAATAAAAATAAAACAACTATTGTAAAGACTAACAAGATTAACGTGATCTAGAAAATAAGAAAAAACATAAAATTAGAAACAATTTTAACATCATTTAATAACAAAGAATTCAAGAAAACGTAAATAAAAGAAGAGATGAATTCAGACTATGAAAATTAAGAGTGAAACTGACGTAAGTTAATACTTTTGAAATAACATAAAAAACATGTGTTTTCTAAAGAACAAAATTTTATTCTGTAATTTTTAATTTAGTTTTAATTTGATTTTTGAATTATATATTAGGTGGCTATTGTTCCTGAAGATGACTAAAAATGAATAGTCGAAACTGGTTGAGCCGAAAATAAAGAAAATTCCACCCTTCTGAAAAGCAAAGTTTTTTAACAAGATGGGAAGTAATAATATTAATAAAAATAATAGTTTTATTTAATTTGCTATGTGAATCATTTCTTAATTTTCATAAATTACCCTTGTACGATTTTCTAAGTTTCGAGTTGCATTGAGATATTTTGAGATTCATGCGTTTTGACGTTTTTGAGGTTGAGATGAAAGATTCAACTTCTTTTATCTAAGAAATTTTATAACCCAACCTAACATGTACCATATATCATTTTAAAGTGGATAGTTTCAGCTTTAATTTGATATCAATATCATTTTCTAATTTTCATAAATAACCTTTCCAGGATTTTTGAAGTTTCGAATTAATTTAAAACATATTGAGATTAAGTTAATAACGTAACAAGAATTCAATGTCTTATATCTAAAATTTTTTAGAATGCAACCTATCACATTTCATATATCATTTTAAAAAGGAACGTTTCAGCTTCAATTTGATATAAAAATAATTTTTTAATCTTCATAAATAAACCAACAACGATTTTTTAAGTTTCAGCATGCATTTTGACGTTTTGAGGTTGAGATGAAAACTTAATAAAAATTCAACTTCTTTTATCTAAGAAATTTTATAACCCAACCTAACATGTATCATATATCATTTTAAAGAGGAATGTTACAGTTTTAATTTGATATCAATATCACTTTCTAATTTTCATAAATAACCTTTCCAGGATGTTTTAAGTTTCGACTTAATTTAAAACATATTGAGATTAAGTTGATAACGTAACAAAAATTCAACTAATTATATCTAAGAAAATTTAAAATGCAACCTATCACATTTCATGTATCATTTTAAAGAGGAACGTTTCCGCTTCAATTTGATATAAAAATAATTTTTTAATCTTCATAAATAAATCTACAACGGTTTTTTAAGTTTCAGCAAGCATTTTGATGTTTTGAGGTTGAGATGAAACCGTAACAAAAATTCAACTTCTTTTTTCTAAGAAATTTTATAACCCAACCTAACATGTATCATATATCATTTTAAAGCGGAAAGTTTCAGCTTTAATTTGATATCAATAACATTTTCTAATTTTCATAAATAACCTTTCCAGGATTGTTTTAAGTTTCGACTTAATTTAAAACATATTGAGATTAAGTTGATAACGTAACAAAAATTCAACTGATTATATCTAAGAAAATTTAAAATGCAACCTATCACATTTCATATATCATTTTAAACAGGAACGTTTCAGCTTCAATTTGATATAAAAACAATTTTTTAATCTTCATAAATGAACCTACAACGATTTTTTAACTTTCAGTATGCATTTTGACGTTTTGAGGTTGAGATGAAAGCGTAACAAAAATTCAACTTTTTTTTTCTAAGAAATTTTATAACCCAACCTAACATGTATCATATATCATTTTAAACTGGGAAGTTTCAGCTTTAATTTGATATCAATATCACTTTCTAATTTTCATAAATAACGTTTCCAGGATTGTTTAAGTTTCGACTTAATTTAAAACATTTTGGGATAAAATTGATAACGTAACAAAAATTCAACATCTTATATCTAAAAAAATTTAAAATGGAACCTATCACATATCATATATCATTTTAAAGAGAAACGTTTCAGCTTCAATTTGATATAAAAATTATTTTTTGATCTTCATAAATAAACCTACAACGATTTTTTAAGTTTCAGCATGCATTTTGTCGTTTTGAGGTTGAGATGACAGCGTAACAAAAATTCAACTTGTTTTATCTAAGAAATTTTATAACCCAACCTAACATGTATCATATATCATTCTAAAGTGCGAAGTTTCAGCTTTAATTTGATATCAATATCACTTTTTAATTTTCATAAATAAGCATTCCACGATGTTTTAAGTTTTGACTTGTTGTTAAACATTTTGAGATTATGTTGATTACGTAACAAAATTTCAAAACCTTTTATCTAAAAATTTTTAAAATGCAACCTATCACATTTCATATATCATTTTAAACAGGAACGTTTCAGCTTCAATTTGATATAAAAATAATTTTTTAATCTTCATCAATAAACCTTCAACACTTTTTTAAGTTTTAGCATGCATTTTGACGTTTTGAGGTTGAGATAAAAGCGTAACAAAAATTCAACTTCTTTTTTCTAAGAAATTTTATAACCCAACCTAACATGTATCATATATCATTTCAAAGTGGAAAGTTTCAGCTTTAATTTGATATCAATATCACTTTCTAATTTTCATAAATAATCTTTCCAGGAATGTTTAAGTTTCGATTTAATTTGAAACATATTGAGATTAAGTTGATAACGTAACAAAAATTCAACTGCTATATATCCAAAAAAATTTTAAATGGAACCTATCACATATCATATATCATTTTAAAGAGGAACGTTTCAGCTTCAATTTGATATAAAAATTATTTTTTAATCTTCATAAATAAACCTACAACGATTTTTTAAGATTCAGCATGTATTTTGTCGTTTTGAGGTTGAGATAAAGGCGTAACAAAAATTCAATTTCTTTTATCTAAGAAATTTTATAATCCAACCTAACATGTATCATATATCATTTTAAAGAGGAAAGTTTCAGCTTTAATTTGATATCAATATCACTTTTTAATTTTCATAAATAAGCATTCCACGATGTTTTCAGTTTTGACTTGTTGTTAAACATTTTGAGATTATGTTGATTACGTAACAAAATTTCAAAACCTTTTATCTAAAAATTTTTAAAATCTAACCTGATATGTATTATATACCATTTTAAAGAGGAATGTTTCAGCTTCAATTTGATATCAAAATAATTTCTTAATCTGCATAAATAGACCTACAACGAGTTTTAATAATTAACTAGACCTGGAACCAGAATCATTTTTCCAAGCAAAACTTTTCCTTTGCAAAACTATGTACTATTAAGCTACGTTGCATTTTATGTGGGACAGTTATGTTATATAGTTATATTATATGGCTCTGCATGCATATATTGCGAGTTATGTGAAATTCCCTATAAAAAAATATAATAAAAGTAACTGATGTATTTTGAATAAATGAATTGATAATAAGAAGGCAGGTGTCAGAAAAAGTGAATTAATTTTCAATGCATTTATTTAACATGACATCTTTTACAGTATACAAATGATCCTAACTGTGCGTGTAAATATGTGTATTATCCACGTAGAGTTATGAACGTGTTATTAAAATATCGCATAAGACGGTAACTAGTTCTGTATAGGACGAAATGATTATAAATAATTATCGTAATTAATACAC